CGCCTTCTCCAACAACTCTTGCACCAACGTAAGGATGTATCCATGAACTAATGTTCATATCGGTCTATATTTTTTGCACATGGGAAGTTAGTTGTTTGGCAATTAATACAGGGGTTTTATATCCATCTATAACCTATTGCTACGTACGATGGCTAATTTGTTGGTGGAAACAACAGGTTGAAGTTTTGGTAGTTGATGTTTCTGCCGGACAGAGAGTAACGGAGAGTTTCGCAGATTTTGCTTTTGTTACTAGAAATGAAGTTCTCTCATGCTACTCAGGATCCCTGGAGCAAACTCCAACTCTACTTCCAAATGATCGGGGTGAAGCAGTTGTGATTATGAGCAAAGCACTAGAGAATTTTCTTAAGAAAGGTCGGGATGAAGATCACGTTCTTGCTGGAGTAATTGGCCTTGGAGGCACTGGAGGCACATCCATGCTATCTTCTGCCTTCAGATCTCTTCCACTTGGAATGCCAAAGCTAATAGTGTCTACCGTTGCCAGTGGTCAAACTCAACCTTATATTGGAACATCAGATTTGTTGTTATTTCCATCTATTGTGGATATATGTGGGATTAACAGTTTGAGCAGGGTTGTGCTGTCCAATGCCGGAGCTGCATTTGCTGGAATGGTCATTGGAAGGCTTGCAAGGTTCCAGGGATCATCTGGTACTAGTAACAAAAAATGTACAGTTGGTTTAACCATGTTTGGGGTTACAACTCCATGCGTAAATGCTGTCAAAGAAAGATTGGAAAAAGAAGGTTATGAAACCCTTGTTTTCCATGCTACTGGTGTGGGGGGCAAGGCCATGGAGTCACTTGTTAGGGAGGGATATATACAGGTAACTGTTTCCTCTACTTTGTCCAATAAGGCTTGATGTGGGCTGTCTTGTGATATCTTACAACTTAGCATGCTACGTAGATGAGAATTTCCGTTTTATTATGTTTCATTCTTCTACTCAGATGTTTCCCGTTTGTGTTAATTAGGGGGTTTTGGACATCACAACATCAGAGGTTGCAGATTATGTGGTTGGAGGTGTGATGGCTTGTGACAGTTCCCGTTTTGATGTTATCATAGAGAAGAAGATACCTTTAGTCCTGAGTGTGGGAGCCTTGGATGTAGTGTGCTTTGGACCTAAAGATACCATACCCTCTTATTTTCTGCAGAGAAAAATTCATGTGCATAATGCCCAGGTGATTAGTCCATGTAACCTGTGTTTCTCTTCTTGACTGCTTGCTTGGTTTCAGTGACAATATGCATACTGTTTCTTTTCACTCTTATAGTTATTTGGATTTGACTGATATTCAGATCTAAATAGCTAATTAGAACAATGATCTATCTTTTTTGACCCACAAATAACTGAGCAGATGCAGTGCTTCAAGTGATTTAATGAACCTTAATAATTAATCAGTGGTTGTGATTAGGTATCAGCCATGCGAACTACAGTAGATGAGAACAAGAAATTCGCCAGATTCATAGCAAATAAACTGAACAAGTCATCATCAAAGATCTGTGTTTGCCTCCCACAGAGAGGTGTTTCAGCATTGGATGCACCGGGGAAGCCCTTTTATGATCCTGAGGCTACTGTTACTCTTTTGAATGAATTAGATAAGCTTATTCAGAAAAATGATGATCGACAGGTACCACTATTGCCTACTAAATGTTGAACACTAGAATTTGATCTTTCTTTGTTTTTAATCTATTAAAGTTGCATGGTTTCATGTTATTTTGTCCAATTTACTTTATGAAAATTAGCATTATGTTTGCCAACAGGTAAAGAGCTACCCTTACCATATCAATGACCGTGAGTTCACGGATGCCTTGGCAGACTCATTTTTAGAGATCAGCTTGAAGAAACATACAGAATCTAGCCCACCCCAAAGTGCTTCTTCTGATTCCAGCCAAGACCTACAAAAAGATTGTGCGTCCAGGACGAAACCTGTGACATGTGACCATTCTCCTTAGGCTTTAGCCCTGGGGACTTTCCTGATGCAAGACCAGGTTCTAGTAATCAATAAATCACAGTTGTTATAGTTTCTGCACTTATGGAAGTTCTATGGAAAATACATAACATGATTTTTTTTGCCCCAGTGATTGCATATTTCAATGTTTTCTGCACATGTATAAAAGATGATGTGGACAAAACCCTAGAAATTAACAAATATTTATAACAGAAACTCTGGAAAGAACTCTGGACATAATACAAAAGCTGAAAGATCAATAACTAAAGGACTGCCAATAATGAATAGGAGCCGGTGCAGGAACAGGAATATATGCAAAGTTTGAGGCCGGTGGTGTTGATATGATACCATTGTATAATTCATGGCACTTTCAGTTGGCAGGACCAGGTTCCTTGGCAGCTAAACCAGCTGCTACAAAGAATGAAAAGAACTGGTTTCTGCACATAGTTACAATGCTAACTTCTTACAAAATCCTCTATCTCCCATTGCAAAGCAATAGAAAGAGGCAACGGTGAAGATTTGGGCTTGGCAAAGCCTAAAATTTTGCCTCGAACATCCCTCTTGACTTCAGTAATAACATATGACACTGGTCTGAAAGCTTGTTGAAGAATAAACCTATTTCTCTCCATCCAGACATGATACACTACTGCATTTCATGCTAACTTGATCAGGGAGAGGTGCAAGGACTTCCTAGTTCCGACTAACTCGATTTCCCATCCATAAAAGGAATGCCAGCCATAAAAGATAAGTTTTGCCAGACCTGTCTCGAGTGTGTGCACTTGAAGAACGGATGATCACAAGTTTCTGAAGCAGAACCAGAGAAAACACATCTGTCAGTCAAGGATGAGTTCCATTGCTTCTGCCTAGCCCTTGTAGATAGTCTGTTTGGGATGGCTAACCAGCAAATAAAACTGTGCTTAGCTAGCTATAGAATCTGAGAACCACATTAATCTGAACCACAGGGTTCTATTACGCCTATCTTTAATCAGAACAGAGATGTACATAGATTATATATCAAATAAGGGGGCCGGAGAAGTTGAAGAACTTTAACGGAAGGGTATAAGTCAGAGAAACAGAAACCTGTTGCATTAAGGTTTGTCATGATAGCTGCGAATGCACTCTGGTTTTTGGTTCTTTTTAACCAAAGACTGCTCTTGATGTTATGCCATATGTAAGTGAGAATAATTTGTCAGTGAGATTTACTGGCTTTCCTTCATCTAAAGTCTAAACATCTTGTTTTGATGAAATCCGATACAGCTTCTTCCTTATATAAGATTGTTGATTTGAAGGGTTGCAGGCGGTTAGCACTGAAAAGCAAAGAGGTATGAGATTTCATGGAAACAAAATATTGAGTGTTGTCTCCAGGAACTGTCATATGGGGCAAAGCCAACATCATAACCCCATAAAGAGTAAGCCTTTAAGCAAAGGCGAGTACCGATTTGGTCTTGATTCCATTCTCCCAGTTTTTGGACATATCTGATGGTGTTTTCATTGAGGAATTGATATAATATTGGGTTTATTAATTAAAGTTTTTTCATTGATTTTGAGGCGTTTGTCCCTTTTTGATTCTGATTCTGATTCCATTCTTTTATTTAAGAAAAGGAATTTGATTCCATTCTCACTACAGTTTTGGACATAGTTGGTGTGCTTTTCTGGAGTTGGAGATTGAAGGGTATCAATTTTTATTTTTATTTTATTTTTATTTTTTATTTTATTTTTTTTGCTTTGCAAAGGGAATAGGATTATGTTGTAATAAAAACATGGAATAACTGGCCTTTCAGAAAGCTTCACAATTGTTTGATACTACAAATTCATTTGGGGAATAGACCCTTATGCAATATCTTCCTAGGTCTAATGCATTATGAGTTTACTTCTTATTTAAGCATTTGTTAAACGGGTCCTCCGTGGTTACATTTCAAGTAATAGCAGATAAGGGGATCAGAACCTGGAGTCATTTTCCTTTTGCAAGTCCTTATATCATGAAGTTTCTTTCGCACTCACTTTTCTGGATTCTGGTATATATTGCTTGGACTCATGTACACACATTACTTATCTAAACCTACTGCTGTCTATGTACTCAGGTGCAATACAGAGCTTAAGGTTGATTTACATAACCTAAAAAGACCTATTAGTGTTACTGAAAAATATATTCCCAATAGTCAAGGACTTCAGATTCAAACTTCATATGAATATGATGTAGTTTACTATAAAGTAGGGGCTGAGGACCTGTACAAAATTTAATTGCAAACTTCTGTTCAAATGAGCCAAGATACTTAACTGGGTCATGACATTTTTTGTCTTTTTGAAAATCACTAACATTTGGTCTAGGTTATGGTTACAAACTGTAGTAGTATTATTTATTGTTCATATATGGATTGATAACTCTAACCCAGCTTTGCGCTTGGTTTGGTAAAAACATTGACCGTGAAACTTCTGTGGCCTAAAATTCGAAATCCATATTCTTATCCATTCTTTGATTGTCTAAGCATGTATTTTTCTTTCTGATCCAGCCTTCCAAGCACGACGGTAGCATACTTGAACATTCAATCAATCATTTTGTACGAGAATCAAAGTAAGCCAGAACTAGAACGCTCCTCCAACTTGATTCTCCTGATCCAGCTGCTGGTTTTTCCAGCCAACCATGTTGATGTGATGTGCAAGTGTGGCATGGATCAGAAAAGAAAAATATTCGTGTATGCTTATGTGATAATCAAAGAGTGCATATTTCAAATATGTAAATATATACTGATGTCGAATTTTAGGTCCACCTAGAAGGTTTTCTGTCAATGTTACCAAATCTAGCACTAAGCACACTCAGTTAAGAGTTACCAGATTATATATAGTTTCTTCCAGGTATAGTGTCTGAGACAAAGTGTTAGTGATTTTCGAAAAAAGTGAGGATGCAGGCTTATTTCCAGTCTTTTAAGGCTCTCAAGGTTATTGGACAGCCATTTCTGAGTACAGGAGTATGTGCTTTCATTTCCAGGGAGGGATCTAAATCGTCCAGTGTCCCCCTGCATCGTGGTTGCAAATTAATAACAGCTTAAATTATTGATGCTGTTAAGAACTATAGAAGAAATTTTAGATTGTTCAGTTTACTAACAGATCTCAGATGAATAGAAGAATGACTTGTATCCACTGGTCAGATGGTGGTAAAACGCAAGCATCATTGCTCTTGCCCTGTTTATTCCTAAGCATGTACTTGGTCCTGCCCCAACTGTATGGCTTCTGCATTTCCAACAGATATGAAATATGAACCATGGTTACAAAATACAATGTTAGTCTCTGCTGAACAATTCATGGGTTTGGCATATCATATTTCATTCCATCAAATCTTGAAGAGTTGAATAGCTGAGGATCCTTGTACACATCTGGATCAGATCGAGTGAATGCAAGTTGCATCAATGTTTACATGCCATCCTTTCTTTATCTCAAAACCTGAAATTGAAAAACCAGAACGTCCATGAGAAAGAAAAATCAAAAGAAAGACATTTTTAATTATGACAGGCATTCTCAAATGAAGAAAACAACTTTTTTTTTTTTCAGCTTCCAAGACTTGCCTTCAATTGTGCAGTCATTAACTGCAACACGAGGATACCACAATACGACATTAGCCACTCTCAGTGTCTCTTTCATAACCTTTAAGGCATAGGGCATCTAATGCAGATCCTCAAGGGTAAGTGAGCTTCCTTCTGGCTTATTTTTGGCTATTGAAATTTGCTCTTCCTGCAAATTTGTAGACATGTTTTTTGATTGAATGTTCATACAGTAATGTTGTTGTTTCTTTCCAAACAATTAATCCTTGAGACTATATGTTGTGTATCCAAGTCTCTCACCTTGAGCCTGTCCCATACTTCTCTGTTTTCATCCAGGCACTTAGCACTCCACACCATGGCTGCAGCAGTGGAGGTCTGCCCTGCCAGTAGCAACACCAACAGCTTATCCATTATCTCTGTATCATCAAGCTTTTCATCTGGTGGATGTGAACTTTGCAGCATTGACTACAGAAAGTCATCAGAAGACTCCATTCCATTCCCCGTCTTGCAATCATCTGTCTAAAGGTTTCCAATAGCCTTTTACGTTCCTGAATAAACCAATTCCATTTGTCAATACTTTTATTTGGATTATTGGATAAAACAAGCCGCTCACTGCAAGTGAGCAGATTGTTCTATTTCATGAGTATACTAATGTTGGGAAAAAGAAGAAAAATCTACTGCATCACGGGGATATTTATTTTAAATCAGTAACAACATTTACAGTAGATCTTCCTCTACCATTGGATATATATCTAATTTCTTGCCCATTCTTTGTTCTTGGGTCTTTGGTGTTGTCTACTCTTACCTTTATGCCTTTGTAGAATCTGGTGCCTGAAATCATCACCGGGAGGGATAAGAGGGTGTCGGAAACATCTCTGCAGTCCTGTTAAATATGTCGAAGCAAGGAATCCTCTTTGACACTTACCAGGATGTCGCACATTGCATCGAAGGTTAACTATTATTAAAAAAGCATTTACAGAGAGGTCAGTTTCCTGGACTGCATGTGGTTAACATTTTTATCTCTAGACTAATTAAAATCCTACTCTCTGAGATCAAATGATCAGTGGCATCACAATTTGAACGTAGATTCAGGTTATGTTGGAGAAATAGAGGGTTGGAAAAGAGATCATTGGATCATTGGCTTCAAGGCATGCTGCTAATTTTGCCTCCACCAAATCTAGTATGCAAAAAGGGTAACCCGAAATGCCCATAGGATACAATGAAGTGCCTTGTTGATCTAGCCTTTGCACTAGCAAGATCAACCACTGAACCATCTTTTGGAAAGCGACAAAACAATAGTTTTTATACAGGAATTTCTTGAACAATCGCAATACAAAAAAGGGGCTGTTTTATTTAGATATTTCTGGGTTCAAAAAGACTACAAAAGAAGAACAGATAACATCATATTTATAGGGCAATGTGTCTGTTTGGAATAGACACTTCTTTTCAAGATGTCTGTTGCAACACACTTCTTTTCAAAATATCTGTTGGAAACAAACACTTCTTTTCAATTTTTATCCATTGAAAACTCTTCCAAAAGCCATTTGATTTGATTTGAATTCTAACTCACGTGTTTCTTTACCTTCCAAAGTTATCCACTCTCTTCAAAAACCTATCAGAAATTTATCTCTTTTTTTTTTTATGTAAATGATTCGAACCACATAAATGTGATTCGAATCAAAATCGTAACTTTTTGGATTCTGGTTTTACATAAATGATTCGAATCATATAATTATGTTTCGAATCAAAGTTACAGTTTCTCAAATGCATTCTATGCAATTGCTTCAAACCAACTTTTTGTGATTCGAACTCTAATCCTTGAACTATTTTGAAAATTCTTCAACATTCCCCCACCATTTTCAAAATAGAACAGCCCACCAATTGTTTTGAAAATCTTATGCATACATGAAGGTATCTTATGATTTGAACCTTTCACTTAGTGAACATGTGTTGGCAAATTAGTCAAAATTGCATGGTAGACTAATGCTTTGGACCAGCAATTTTAAGTGACTAATTGGGCACATGTCACACACAAGACTTTAAGCTTTCTAAAGAAAAAATTTAGCATCCATCGACACAAAAACTGGCTATGTGTCCTGTATCCTTTTCATGAGTGCTATTAGAGTCAAGTCCCCAACTCCTAAAAGCGACACCACTTCCACTCATATAGGTAGATCCCATCAAAAGTGCTACCGCATTAAGCACTTTAATAAAAATCTGTTATAGGACCTATTAAGAGTAAAACTCAACCTTCTCTTTATTTCATACGGTTACCTAGTATGCTTCCACTTGGGATGATATTATTAATAAATTGAGTACTTGCAGTCACATTATATGATGTACTTTACTCATTGAACTTAAGACTTGATGTTTTTATCAAGTGTTAAGTCAAGGTTCCATCATGTGTGACTTTTGTCAATATGGACTTGAGACCCATCCCTTTCTTTGTCTTTTAAATTTTCCTTTTGATAATCCTTTTAACCAAGGATTCATGAAGTTAATTCACACAAGACCTTGCAAAGATTATGGTGATCACCTCTTATAAGAATTGATTATTTCCATGTCTACATTTTATGATACGAAGTCTACTATCATAGACTTCTTTATAAGCACTTGATGACATCCTATTATTTTTAGTCATCATACCCATTCATATAAGAATGTCTTAGAATAATTTGAACTCTTGAAAAGTGTAGACATCTCCAAGAACAAGTGCTATCACTTTTAAACAGTGCCATATAACTTTGTAATATCATGAACAAGTGGAATTCTTGCTTCCTCCACTTCAAATTAAATTTTATTTGCTTTTCATGTATCAAGGACTTTTAGTCATTATTCCTCTCACTCTTGGGATTGTTCCCACCATTTTAAATATTTTTTGTGAATTTATGACATCAATATTCTTCATGAGAGACATATCAGGATAAATTTTGATTTATCAAAAATGGTTCAATTCATATAAATGTGATTCGAACCAAGTTCCTAATACTTTCTGAATTTTCTGCATAATTGGTTTGAATCATTTTTTAGTGATTTGAATCAAAATTTTGGAACAACTCAAATCATTAGATTCATTTTCCATGACCAGGAGCTATTCGCTCTTGCTTTTTATAGGATTCTTAAATCCATATTTCTTTATCTTTTGGACCATTTTTCTAGGCTTCTAAAAAATGAATCAAGTGCACAAGGTTGCACTAGTTTTTACAAATTATCTCATTAAGAGATAGCATCTAAACAAGGATTCAAAATCCTTCACGACTTATCAAAACTGAGAGCCTTTTCACTTGGCCTCTCTTCTCTTAGTTTATATTCAAACTAAGATAATCAATTGGATCTCCAAATGGGTTTGCCAAATCCCATTTTAGTATTTCTTTCTTTAACATGGCAAAGTAGCCATTATGAGACTTGATTCTCACTTGATTCAATTTACATATACTGATATATAATCTTATAAGCATAAATAAGAGGCATCAAAAGTAATAAGTAGACATATGCTTTAAGCAATCTTCATTAATGAAACATAATCAGATTTATTAGCCTCTTATATTTCCACAAGCCTCCTATTAAAAACAGTAAGCATGTTTAACACACGTACAAAAATCAATGATTTTAACTAAAATTGTCATATACATAAACATGCTTATAACATAATCCAAGTAAAGAAAATCTCATTGACCTTAATAAGCCTTAAGCAAACCTTAATAAGCCTTAAGTAAACTTTCATAAGATCATGTCCATAAGTAAGATATACTACTTAAACTCCATAAAGGTTCATAAGTATTCACCAAAGAACAGTAAATAATCATTACTAAATGAAAAGAAAAATAGAACTTCATTTGTATCACATTAGTAATCTGAAAATCAAAGCACAATCATGATCTCAAAACATGATCTCAAAACATGATCATATTCAAATTCATAAATATCTTCCTTCTCACAACCAAGAACCATGCTATCAAGTCTGAGATTTATTTAATCTCCAAATGGGATTTAAAGACCCATTTTATGTCTCTTGCCTCATTGTGCCAAATGACTTTAAATTATGAATCTTTACATTGTCATTTGCATCTTTGATAACTTCTTTGAAGCCATTCTTCAGGGGATGTTTTCTCCTCGTATATAATTAATTAAACATTAACAAGAGAACTATCACCTATGCATGAATAGCCCATGATATAGATGGTGCGTGTGCCAAAACTCAGAAAAATTCATGATTTAAGAAACTGTAATCTCAATTTCTTACTAATTTCAGAATGTATTATTTTATTCTATCATTTTATTGGTTTTTGTACTTGTTTTGATATTACAGTGAATCTTGATTCGTCTCTGTTTCATATCTTCTCCAGACTTGGAAATTTCAATTACTTCCTTCACAAATAGAATCATGTCTCCATTGTTTCATCTTTCATGAAAATAGATTTCCTTTGCTTTATTGTGAAACGTCCAGCAACCATCGCCTCATCTATGATTGATCACCATTTTGATGGTCAATGAATCACCATTTTTGCACATGATTTAAAGTGCCAGAAATCCATTTTGTTTTGCCACTATTGCACACCATATCTCCTTGGCTTCACATCCATTTTAACGCAAGTTTCTTCTCAATTATCCAATAATCCATGATCCCAAAAACTCAAAAAATTAGCCTAAAGAGTTGGAGAAATAGGGGGTTAGAAAAGAGGTCATTAGATCATTGGCTTCAAGGTGTGCTGCAAATGCCACTTTCCTTTAGGTTAATTTCATTCCCACCAAACCTGGTATGCAAAAGGGGTAACCCGAAATGCCCATAGGATACAATGAAGTGCCTTGTTGATTTAGCCTTTGCACTAGCAAGATTAACCACTGAACCATCCTTTGGAAAGCGACAAAACAATAGTTTTTGTACAGGGATTTCTCGAGCAATCGCAATACAAAAAAGGGGCTGTTGTATTTAGATATTTCTAGGTTCAAAAAGACTCTACAAAAAAAGAAGAGATAACTCCATATTTACTAGGCAAGGTGTCTGTTGGAACAAACACTTCTTTTCAATTTTTATCTATTGGAAACTCTTCCAAAAGTCATTTGGTTTGATTTGAATTCCAACTCACGTGTTTCCTTGCCTTCCAAAGTTATCTACTCTCTTCAAAAACTTATCAGAAATCTATCTCTTTTTTCTGATGTAAATGGTTCGAACCAGATAAATGTGGTTCAAATCAAAATCGTAACTTTTCGGTTCTGATTTTACGTAAATGACTCGAATCATATAATTATGATTTGAACCAAAGTTAAAGTTTCTCAAATGCATTCTGTGCAATTGTTTTGAACCAATTTTTTGTGGTTTGAACCCAAGTCCTTGAACTATTTTGAAAATTCTTCAACAGATTAGAGAAAAAAGTTTTATACGTACATGCTGAAGTCAAAGAGTCTAAAACTTTGGCCGGCTTCTTCTAATTTATTGAGTCTTTTGCACAACATCTGGTCGAATGTTTTGAGAAACTTGGGTA